AATTCTTCTCTCCCTTTCCTAGCAGTCTATCCAGGTCAGAACAATGCATTAAAACCAAATAAATTCATGTGTTATAGAGGACACTAAAATTTAACTGAGTTTTGTTTTGGAAAATAATTTTTCATAAAATTGTTAGTTTAATAGACAATAGGCTTGTGACTTCATATAATCTACCTGGTAAATAATAATGATTATAAATCCACAGGATAAGAAACTCTGTGTGTTCTGTGATGTAAAGTTGAAAGGGACCAGGCATGTGTTGAGTTCTTGAGTCCCAAACCTCAAGAGACAGGTGCAGCAGAACCAAATTTGAAACCAGCATGGATTGCACTAAAAAAGAAAAAATTAAAAAGTAGAAATAACAATGTGCATGGAAGCCTTTTTTTTATTGGTGGTAAATGGTCGCACATGCTTGAAGATACAGCATGGTGTTCTGAGAGCAGTTTATTTGGTGTGAACATGAGAAGAGGGAACCTCAGTTAAGAAAATATAAACACCTCCATTAGATTGAGCTGCAAGTAGGCCTGTGGGGTATTTTCTTTAGTGACTAAATGTGGGAAGGGCCCAGCCCATTGTTGTCAATGAGAGGGCTGGTGGTCCTGGGTTATATAAGAAAGCAAGCTGAGAAAGCCATGGGGTGTTATGAGCAGTTTTCCAGCCAGCCTGGTCCCACAGCCGTGTCAGCCCCAAATAACACACAAAGACACTGTTTTAGATATAAAGCTGTTGGCCTGTTACTAGTGTTTCTTATTGGCTAGCTCTGTCTTAAATATTAACCCATTTCTATCGATCTAAGTATTTCCACGTGGTCTTAGCTTACCAGAGAGAGGGTCCGGACCTTTTACTCCTCTTGGTCCTACATTTTGACTCTCCTACTATATCTTCCAGAATCCTCCTTGTCTCCTAGTCCCGCCTATCTTGCCTTCCTATTTCCCAACAATGCTTTATGCATTAACCAATTAGAGAAACATTTACCGAATGACATCTCCCATCAATGGGGAGCTCATCAGGAAGTAGCACCCTCCATGGCCTCTGCATCAGTTCCCTCCTCTAGGCTCCTATCCTGCTAGAGTTCCTGCCCTCACTGCTTTTGATGATGAACTGTTATGTCAGGCTTCTCAACCTTAGCCGTCTGCTGCCCTGGCTGTTTCAGTTTCTCCCTTTGTCATGCTAATAATAACACCTGCCTCCAGGGCTTAGATATAAAGAAATAGTACCTAAAAGCACCTGCTATGTGGTGCTGGAGAGATGGTTCAGTGGTTAAGAGCATTGGCTGCTCTTCTAGAGAACCCTGGTTCAATTCCCATCACCTACCCACATGGCAGCTCACAAACATCTCTAAGTCCTGCTCTAGACAATCTCATGCCTCTGGCCTCAGCAGGCACCTACCTGTGCTTATGTACATATACCCACATAGAGACATTAAAAAAACAAAACTATAAAAGTACTATATATGTGTGTATATACATGCATGCATGCTGTGGAGCTAGGTTACCTGGGTTCAAATCCTCTCACTATCTTTTTATTCCTTAGACTTCTTATCTGGAAAATGAGGATTAAAATATCATCTACTATGTTCATTAAGATAAAAAAGTTACTTTTTTTTTTTTTTTTAATCCTAGCACTCAGGAAGCAGAGGCAGGCAGATCTCTGTGAGTTTGAGACCAGCCTTATATGCAGAGTGAGTTCCAGGACTGCCAAAGACACACAGAGAAATCCTCCAAAAAAAAAAAAAAAAATCTACTCTGTAAGATTATCAAAAATCTACATTAAAATTCTTACCTAATATCTGACAGCTAGTAAACTTATGGCAGATCTAACATATAATATGTATCCAATAAATAGTAACAATTATCATGTAGGGAATTCCTGTTTTCAGTGAATGGGAAAGGGGGAAAGTCAGGCAGTTTAAGGAGAGGAAAGACAATCTGAAGCCCTGTTAGTAGGAGGCAGGACCCCCCTCTGCCTGAAGGCAAATGGTAAGATTCAACAACCAAGGGCAGCCCCCTCCACAGAGAGAGAGAGAGAGTGTGTAAAATAATTTTTAGAATTGTTTGCAGCACATATATTTATGGGTTTATTGTTTCATAATGAACACCTACAATCATAAGCTAAACCCTGGTTGAAAATGAATAAAGGATTTGCATAGGATTTAAGATTACCAGTGTCCAAAAAAACACAGGACAAGCTTCTATGTGGAGCCATTGTCTCCCACCTAAAGAGTTGCAACAACTATTGCAAGTTCAGAGAGCACAGGCCCAGCAGGTATAGCCGCTTTGAATGGGGTGATGTCACTAAGGCACACATGTTCTTGACCCAGCAGGTCTGCTCCTGGGTATATATTCAACCAGAACCAAAAGGCGTGAATGAGACGCTCACAGGAAAATTATTGTTAGCAGACAGCAACTCAGATAAATTCTGTTTATTTTGCAGTGGAGTGCTTTAAGGAAGGGAGGGAGGGTGTGGTGTTGTCAGTCACCACAGTGATGCCTTTGGCGAGGACTGGGAGCTAGAGAAGAGCCTGCTTTGTTCGGGTTTCATGGCTGTATGGGTGAGCTTTCTGATCTTCATGCAGCCCTGTGCTTATGGTTCCACAGCACCTGATTTGTACGTTTTTTACCAGGGTTAAACCTCCATTTGTAGTTACTTAATTATTGTTATTTTGGATTTTTTTTGAGACAGGGTTTCTCTGTGTAGCCCTGGCTATCCTGGAACTCTGTAGAGCAGGCTGGCCTCAGACTCAGAGATCTGCCTGCCTCTGCCTCCTAAGTGTTAGGATTAAAGGTGTGGGCTACTGCTACCACCACCACTACCATTGCCTAGCAAATCTCCATTTTAAATTGCCTTAGACTTAAAATTTGGAGGCTGGAGTGATGGCTCAACAGTTAAGAAGACCCAAATTCAATTCCCAGCACCCACATGGCAGCTCACATGTGTCTGTAACTCCAGTTCCAGAAGATCTGACACCCTCTCACAGACATACATGTAGGCAAAACACCAATGAACATAGAATTAAAATAATTTTTTTTAAAAAAGGAATTTTAGAAGACTTAAAAATTTTGAAATGGCTGTCAGTTTGCCACTTTCCAGGTCTTCCTAGAGTTAACAAATGCTCACTGCAGACTGAAGAACTAGCCACTCTTGACTTGTGACCTTCTTAAATTTAGTCTTCAAGATGGTAAAGAACCCTCAGGAACAATAGTTAGGAGCCTCCAGCAGCCTGTGAAGTAATTTCTCCTGCCAGTCAACATGCACCATGACATGCTACATGGGTGGCACATGGAAGTCATATGTAAAACAAACTAACTTAGAGCTTGTAGAACCAATCTTTTTCACCTTGTGTGGCACGTTGGCATTTTGAAGATTAAAATCTGGTGCTTTTGAAGATTGAAGAGGGATTCATGTGATACAGCTGTGAGATAGAAGAGGCAGGTTGGAAGGTCCTTGAAGATTTCATTACCATTGATGGCTCTTGCTGTGGTGCTCATGATGCTGTTTTGTCTTTGAATTTGTTTTGTTTAATCCACATTGTACTCCCATTGGTAGCTAAAAACCTTACACTTTTGGAGAACATTACTCTATAGCCCTTCCCTTTTTTGCTGTTTTTACATCATATGCCATTACACATTTAATGCACTTGCAAGGTCTATGTGGAATGAAGTACAAAGCCATCCTTAGATTAACACTTCAGAAGCAAATGTTCTTTCAAAGTTTATTCTTGGTTATCCTTTATATTCTAAGTTGATAACTTCAAAGTACCTCTGATTCTTAGTGTCTTTGAGCCTGAACATTGGGTCAAAAGGAGCTTTTCCCTATGTCACCCAGAAGAATCTGCTAGACTCAGTTCTGTCTCAGTTAAGACAATAAAGCCCAGCGGTAGTGATGCACACCTTAATCCCAGCACTTAGGCAAAAGCAGGTGAGTCTTAAGAGTTCCAGGATAGCCAGGATTACATGAGAGACCCTGTCTTGTTTTTGTTTTCTTTTGTTTTTAAATGGTAATAAGAGTAGCCTATTTCACTCCTTTTTAAACACATGTTTTAACCAGCTCAAATTATCAGGTATGGCACTGAATGATAAAAATGTAAGATTAAATTACCAAATGAAAACCACAAAGAATGTGTCAATCTTATAAATGCCTATAAAATACCAATCAATATAGGAATTTTGAGAAGTTAATGTGAGGAAAATTGATCAGATATGAATCTATTATGTTTGATTAAAACTGTTTGCTACCTGGGGCTGGAGAGATGAATCCATGATTAAGAGCACACTGGCTGCTCTCGCAGAGGACTTATTATATTCCCAGCACCCATATAGTGGTTCACAGCAGTCAGTAACTTAGCTCCAGGTGTCCTTGTCTGGCTTCCACAGCACTCCACACCCCACCCCATGCATACACTCCATTTAGGACACAAGTAAAGATTCCTTAATACCAGACTCGCCTAGAATTGAATCAGGGAGAGGTGAGAATAAAATGAATTCAAGATAAGAAGCTGCCTCAATTTTTAGGCAAATTGTTATCACTAGGTTTTTCCAGCCTTTATAACTAATAGAGTTGTAATCTCTGAAACCAAAAAGAGGAATAGAATGTTAAAATACTGCCTTAATGATTTCCTTGAGAGTCTGAGACATGGAGCTGAACAAGGGATGCTTTTGTTTTCCAAACAGAGAGGTCTCAAAAACAGAAGGCTCCACTCAGAGCCTGAGAAGAGGAGGGCTATTTTTACAACTCCACGTGGGCTTCAGCAAACCACAGAGATTTCTATGCCTGCACTCCCATTTTGCTAATGGACTAAAAATAATCAAAAGACCCAAATTTTGTTTGTAGACTAGAAGCATTTTGAGCATAAATGACACCTTGGGCCAATTCTTCTTTCACAGGACAACAACAAGCCTGCTTACACATCCACTTTCTAGAGGAAAGCTTCATTTCACAGCATTCTTAGGAAATAATTACTGGGTTTTGTGGAGTTCATTGTGTTTGTTTGTTTGTTTTAGCAGACAGAAGGTGGAGCACAAACAGACGGACAACAGTCACAGACACAAAGTAATGAAAATTCAGAGAGTAAATCCACCCCCAAACGACTACATGTCTCTAATATTCCCTTCCGCTTCCGGGACCCAGACCTCCGACAGATGTTTGGGGTAAGTCTCTAATACCTTTTCATGGATTTAATTAAAACAATTGAATTCGCCAGAGGTGTTATTAGTCTTTAGGACTTTAGAGTAAAATTGTAAGGAAGAAAGAGCCTTAAGTAAATCACTGTTATCTGGAAACCTTTTCCTGTCACCTCTCCTGCCCTAGACATTAATGTTACAAGTTGTTACACAGACACAGAAGCTGCATGCAGCTGTTAGCTAGGAGTGAGGTGGTTCTTGAAGACGAGGCATTCAGTGCTCCAACCACTGAGATGGCCACCCTTCTTACACACCAACCTTAGTGAACTTGTCAGTAATATTCTTGGTTTCACTAAAAGAGCAGACATCCACAGTCCTTTATAGCACAACATGCAGGTGCATTAAAGTCCTCTGGGGAACCTAAAAATAATGAAACCAGGTGAGATTTAGTTGGCTTACAGTGTCTCCAAGAATTTCTGTGTGGTGCTTTGATGTGGTGACATGCTTGTTTTCCTGACAAGTTACTGCCTCCCACCCCTCACAGTCAACTCCATTTCACTTGTTCAGGGTGCATTAGTTCTGGTCTCTACCTCAGCACTGTCTCAGAACACATGCAGTATAGATAATACAAGTTTACTGGTAGCTCATCTAAATGGAGCAAATATGGAATGGCATTTTAAAGTGCTCAGGATAAAATTCTAGTTACTTAGGACCTTGGGAAATTAATGGAATTTCTTTTTTGACCTTGAATTTTATATCTAAAAATAGAGTAGTAATCTCTAACTTGAGCATTAGAAGTAAATGAAGTAATACCAGTATTCCAAGGACTTTGTTTTCAATCCCTTCCACATGCTCAGTAATGCCAGGGCCAGCATCTAAAATGTAGGATACTGTTTTCCTAACTCTGATGAGTTCCTTCAAATGTTTACTTCTTCCCCAAATCCATCACAAAAACAAAAGTATAGTAGCACAAAGTGACGCTGTTGAAGGTGAGTGGCTGCTGATGTTTTCTGGGCCTGTGTGTTGCTGTCTTTTATTTTGGCTGCTGTTAACTTGACCCAGGACAGAGCATAGTCAATAGTTCCCTAAACATTCATAAGGACAGCTGACTGGTGCTTTGTCAGAACAGGTGCCTTGCTATGACTTGGCTGTTCTGCTTCATGGTGACAAGGCATGAGAGCCATGTTTTGTCACAGCTAACTACCTGGGTATATTTTTGCCACCAAAGAAAAGGTCAGAGTTAAGGTGTAATGACATTCTTGAAGAACTTAAAGAGCTTTGTCACATGTCATGGTGACAGCTGTTTTCTATCTTCAGAGAAAAGAGCAGTGGAAAGTAGTAAGGACAACTACAGGACTCAGGTCACATGAAAGAAGACACATCCTAAGAGAATGAATTGTGTGGTTCTCTTCTGACCATCAGAGACAATAGAAACTCAATCATGAATTCTGAGAATGGCATCTGTTAGTGGTGTTTTCTCTTGAGTCAGAAGGATAGTGGCCTTTCAAGAGCTGCCATGGTCCTTTAGTGATTTCTCAAATGGATCATACCTTATTGTAATGCATAAAGTAGAAATTTTTTCTTTACAAAGCCCATGTTAGTTCTTTTCTTCCATGTGGTTGGTGCCTGTCATTAGACCAGTAACACTGAGAAAGAACAGGGATTCCATACTGTTCCAGTTAGCCCTGTAAAATTCCACCACAGCTACTTCAGCTCTATTCTTCTTAACCATAAAGAAAGGGCTGGGAGATGGTCCAGCTGTTAGAGCACTTCTGTTGCAGAGGTCCACAGTGCAATTCATTCCAACACATCTGGCCCTCATGGACACCCACACAGTTAGGTGCATGAATGTGCACACACAAATAACAAAACTTCTATATTTAAGAAAGGTGTTATAAGAATGCAATAGAAGGGTAGGTGGTAGTGACACCTTTGATCCCAGAACAGAAGCAGGCGGATCTTTGAATTTGAGGCCAGCCTGATCTACAGAGTAAGTTCCAGGACAAAAGCCACAGAAAACCAAATAAATAAATAAATAAAATAAAATAAAACAACAACAAAAAGAATGTATAGAAGGGACTAGAGAAATGGTTCAACAACTAAGAGCACTGGCTGCCCTTCCAGATGTCCCACATTCAATTCCCATCACCCACATGGTTTCTCACACTTGTCTGTAGTTCCAAATCCCAGGGACCCAACACCCTCACACTGTCATAAATGTATGCAGGCAAAACACCAATGCCCATAAAATTTTAAAATAGAATGCAATAAAGGTGGGCTGTTGTGGCACATTTCTTTAATCGTAGCACTTGGGAGGCAAAGGCAGACAGATCTCAGAGTTCAAGGCCTGGTCTACAGAGTGAGTTCTAGGACAGCCAGATCTACACAGAGAAGCCCCATCTTTACATGTTAGTTCGTATTAGGATAGGCATAGAAATAAAATTATCTCAAATAATATTATATAAAACATTTTCCCTTAGTTTTCTCAATTTTCTGTTAATGATAAACCAGGATCAATAACAAGTATGTAAAATAGAAAACTTGGGCTTTTAACATTTACTGATCGATATATTAACACTCTAGTATGAAACTAGTTTCTGCTTTATGTTTTTCTATTTTTCTCCAACCTCATATAGTTCAATTTGAAATCCAAATGAAACAGATAATGATGGACAGGTCAAGTGCAGTGCTGCTTGGGAGGCTCCTGCAGCTTCCCTCACTCAGGCTGTGGCTTAACAGGTTGTCCCCTTAGTGCCTGCCCTCAGGTGACTAGTTGTAAACCCTGTATATGTGTGTGGAAGCAGGGGGCTTGGTTACATAAGCATAGAATTTTGTGGCTCTGTATCTTTCAGCTCCTAGGTGGTATTTAAATAAGTATTGTACAGATTGTTACTTAAAAATATTCCTGATATTTTGTTACAGAACTATTAAAATGGCAAGTAAATGGATTCATCCATATGGCTAGTATGTTTTAAGTATGACAGATATTATGTTACCTCTAGAGATTGTAACAAATACATATTTATTGGGGTCAGTCATTGTTCAAAGCTTCAAAAGACAAGAACATTATGTGATATTCATCAGGCGCTACATCTGTATGCCTAAGGAAAAGTATAGAAGGCTATGTGGTCTAAAACGGCAGGCTGTGGTTGTTCTCAGTTTTTTTCCTTTTTGTTTATATTTTCTAATTTTTGTACCATTTTTAAGGGAAGTGGGGTAGGAGCAGACCATCTTCAACAGTATGTTGATTCTGCCTAGTGAGATGTAACTTTTTAAAATTGAGACATGAATTCAATTAAGGCAGTAGTTAGAATAGGGCAATTCTGTGAAGTGTTCAGACAGTGGCTTCTACACATGGACATGGATGCACCTAAGTGGATGGAGGAACCACTGGCCCAGTGGGACCATTTCAGAAGCTCATGTTGGATCTGCTGACACGAGGGAACTTGAACTATTTTGAACACTAGTTCAAAGAAGAAAAGCAGTCTCCTTCAGAAGGAAGGCTAGTATTTAGACAAAGGCTGAACTTAAATAAATGCTTTTGTTTTTGTCTCTGCAGCAGTTTGGCAAAATCCTAGATGTGGAAATAATCTTTAATGAGCGCGGCTCCAAGGTAAGGCCTGTGTCAGTATCTGGTGCTCAGCTTCCTCTCAGACTAGTTTCATAAGAACAGTGAGCATTTAAAGAGCAGAAGCAGGTCCCGTGCTGCACAAAACTCTGCCAGGGGTCTTCCCTGGGGTAGGTTCTCCAGAAAGAGGCTGAGCATGGCAGTTCCAAGGGCGGTTCCTCACCCAGCCCAAGTCATCCTGCACTTCCTTAAAAGCAGAGAGGCACCAGGAAGGTGTGAAAATCTGTTCCCAATTCTCTTATATGGAATCAGTTTGCACAATGCCAACATGGCATGCATAGTTAGAACAACTCAGTAAGGGCTCTTTTCTCTCAGATTCCCAGCTCACTTGTTCTCTTTAGAGTAAATAACCAAGTCCAACCCATGAGAGAGCCCCAGGATGCAGCCACTCTGGCCTCCCAACAGGTTTTACATGAAGAATGAGTGGTATCCGTGTGCAAGCTGGTGTATATAGTCTCCTCTAATATGTTCTGTGTAGAGACTGGCATTTCAGTTGAAATTGTTTTCCTTATTAATTAGTGATTCTAAAACTATTTTTTATTTGGTCATACCTGCTGCTTTCAACATAGGTCTTGGCCATGATTAAAGCCCTAAGAATATAATTTAAGGAAGAGCTGAGTGCACTAAATGAGTTAACATTTACCTTTCTTCACTCCACTGCAGATTCCTATGCTTTAGTAGTTGCTAGCCCTAACCTCCCGCCCACCTGCACAGATGCACACACATGCACTCACACTGTTCTGATGCCACAGTACTATTATATCCCTTATAGAATATACCAATAAGTGGTGTTTATTCATTGTTAAAGAGGTAATTATACTTTAAGCTTCCAGCTTTCATTTAAAACAAAAAGATTAATATGTCTATACAGACCTTCCTCCAGCACTTTACCTGGTAAGTATCTTTAAAGTTCATATATTAACTAACCTGTAAGACTACTGATATTTGTACTGCTGACATTTATTTTTATTAAGCATTTAGCTACAAAGTGAGAAAATAGCCATGGCTTCAAAGTGGAAGCATATGAATGAAGATGAAAATAAACATCAGTAAATGAAGATTATTGGCCACACTGTCTGTCTAAAGTAGTTAATTGAGACACTTTTGGCCTTAAGCTGGGCATACTTCAGATAACCTTAGTTAAGATGCACCAGCAAGAAAGTCTGTGTTATTGCCCCCCGGTGCTGAGCACTTGCTCCTCACAGAAAAGAGTAGCTGAGTTCTTGTTCATCGAAGGAAACTGGGCCTTCTAAAGGCTTTCATCATCTTCAGGATTCACCTGCTACCAGTATTTAATTTCACCATAATTTCATTTTAAAGTAATGGCACCTGCCTGCCTTTTCCCTCTGGGGACCCTCAGGGTGCCTGTTGCTTCTGTAGCTCCAGGCAGTGGCCTCACTGCCCTTGCTTTCTTTGGGCTGTGACAGATAGACTGCTAAGTGTGTCCAAAGCAAAGCATAGAAGTCAGAGTGCCCTGAACCTTGAGTGGGACCTTTCCTTCCTGACTGCTCTGAGGCCTTTCTCACAGTAGGCAGCATTGGAATCCCATTCCAAATCTGCTGAAAAGGTGATCCTTTGAGATTCACCTAAGAGAGAGAATAAGCACTCTTCTTTGAAAGGAATGTAGCCTCTCCTTTCTTTTCTTTTTCCTTTCTTGGTTCATTGTTTTTTGATTTTGTTTTGTTTTGAGACAGGGTTTTACTCTATGGCCCTGGCTGTCCTGGAACATTCTGTAAACCAGGCTGTCCTTGAACTCAGAAATTCACCTGCCTCGGCCTGTTGACCACTGGGATTAAAGGTGTGTGCCACCACACCTGGCTTCTCCTTTCTTTTATATATTTGGAGTTAACTACAAAATTTCAGAAACACTTTATTGTACTATGGATTTAGCAGAAGCCTGCCCAGGCTTTTAAACAAAGTACTTTTCTATACAGAAATTAGCTTTATTATAAATTTTAAATTGTAATGAAAAGGATAGTCATATATAAGTCTGAGATAAGTGATACTGATATGTAAATTAATGTTTAATCAAATTATTCTAGAGCAAAAAAAAAAACAAATTGTGCTGGGTCTAGAGCCCAGGACCTTGTGCCTGCTAGGCAAGCACTCAGCAATGGGCTGCATCCCAAACTGTCTTTATAGTGGGCCCATTTGGAAGAGGCGAGAGTGCTCCCTACACTCTACTCAGCCTTCTCCAGCTCCTCCTGTGGAGTCTGCTGTGCTCCACAAAGCAGTGGTTGCCTATTGTTTGCCTAGTTTCTTTTTTGTTTTGACTGTCATTAAATTATGCTAGGGGTAAATAGGCTATCATCACAGCATTTCTTAAATTACTTTGTGTGTGTTACTTTATTCCTTTCTCTGTAAAAGCAATCAGCTGTGTCTAAATTCTGACCAGCTAAAGCGAAGATGAAAGCTCTGCCTTTTAAAACTGTATAATTCAGATGTGTGATGAAACCCCAGAAAATAGCTCATTCCCTCAAAAGGTCTGGAAAAGTGAGTATGAACTATAGGTAGCTTTCTTGATTCTCAAGACTCAACTAGGAACAGCCGAGTGTTAACAGACCATGAGGTGACCTGCATAGAATCCTCCTTTGCTTTAAATTAGCCCAAGTCTGTTCCTGGTGTCTTACAGTTATTTGTGATGGTCCTTTCTTCCTCAAAATGTCCCAAAACAGATGATAAACTACAATATTACTCTCCTTGTAGCTCCTTTGAGTAATGACCCTTTAGAGGGAAAACAGGCCCTTAATGAAAAAAAAAAAAAAAAAAACAACAACAACAGTATGTCCACCCAAGAGTCTGGTTTTAACTTCCATATACTGGTGTCTCATGTAGAGACTCTTGGACAGAACTCTGAGTCGTGGCTACCATTTAGCCCCATGGATACTGCAAGGTAGTTCTTGCTTGTAGGTTCCAATGCCTAAGAGCTTTTCCCTAAATGCATCCCATTGTTGAACTTGGGACTTTTCCACTGTACTTCTGTTCAGCGTCACCCACGCCTATTGACTCATGTCAGCTGTGCTCATTCCCTCTCTCAAGTGGACCCTCATGACAGGCTCTGGCTTCAGGCTGGATTCCTGTATAGGGTGGCATGCAGGAGATGTGTGGTGTCTTCTTGTCCTCACACAAGTACTATGCTCTGGTTTCTTGACCATTGCCTTGGCTTTTGATTTCACGTGAAGAGAAATTACTCATTTCCAAATGTGCTTAAAAGATTTTCTTTGAAGTCACGTTAAGTGAGCCTTTGTGATTTTCAGTAAAATTGATAGATAATGATGGTGTGAAATGTTTTCCCACTGTACTTAAAACTGAATTAACAATATATGAGTCCACAGGGCTTTGCTTATTTTCTTTTGTTACCACTTTCTGGGGTTTAGTTCTCCCCCCCCCCCACATATTATTTTAATTTCTGTGTTCTCCACACCCAGGAGGTCGTCTGCTTTTGATTTCTCCCTTAAAAGTTACATGGTAAATTTTCTTTCTCATTCTTCTGAGATGGAAAAATTCAAAACCTATACAAAATTTTAAAAAGAATGTTTTTACACTGTTTATCTTATTGCTTGTTACTTATTATAGTCTGAGGCCAGACCAAAAAGGTGACAGTTCCTTGGCTCCTGTGTGTCATAAATGGGTGTCAAGGCAGGTATGAACACACTGTTCCTCTTGATAGAAGTTGTGCCACAGCCATGCACTTAACATGATGCTGTTCCTTAAGTACAGCTAAGACAGTTGGGAAAGTAACAATGGAATGTTTCATTAATGTTGTAGGACAGAGAACCCTAAAACAAGTATGTATAGGCCTGTGTTGTCTACTGTGGCAACCACTGTGAGCCTCTGCAATGTGAAGTCTGAGATTCTCAACATGAGCACACATCAGGCTGCAGGGGCCTAGCACAGAAAGAACACTAGGCACCTAGCAGATTTTCACATTGAAATGATAATATGTGGTTACACTGGGTTGAATATGTTGTTAAAATTAATTTCATCTCTGTTATTTTAATGTGTCAGAAAATGTAAGTGTATGTGGCACATGTACTTCTTTCTGTTGGATAGTGTTGGCATAAGCAAATGTGACATCTTTTTTTAATGAAAAACAAGTTTACTTTTTTTAAATGGGAGTTGAATAAAAATCTTTGCCTTATACACTTGAACTATTTCCTCTTATTAAGAGTTTAAGAGTAAGGCAGGCAGTGGTGATGTACACCTTTAGTCCCAATACTCAGAAGGCATAGGCAGGCTGATCTCTGTGAGTTCAGGGATAGCCAGGGATACACAGAGAAACACTATCTTGGAGAGAGAGAGAGTAAATTGAGCATGGTGGCACACACTTTTAATCCCAATACTCTGGAGGCAAGAGTTCAAGGCCAGCCTGATTTATATAGAGAGTTCTAGGGCAGTAGGACTATATAGTGAGACCTGTCTCCCAAAAGAGAAAATTTATGAGTAATTACCTTTATTACAAATTATATCACATATCTATTATTATATAATGTACTAGTACAAGTTGAGGTTTATATTTCAGCATAACTTAAATGGCCATTTTTAACTGCTTAAGTAAAATGTATTGAATTTAAACATGGTTTTATTTTTTCTCCTTTAAAACTAGAGATTTGAACTAAACTTACTCCAAGTTCAGTTTCGAAGGATAGAGGTACATTAAAGCCTGGTTTTCTGGAAAAGGTTTTCCTGTGGATAACCCTTAAGCCCAGAGAAGCTGTGACTGTACTTAGTATAATCCCTATGCCTTTTCCAAACTTCAGATTCGTAGTATTGAAACTGGAATACGACTGTGTTAGATAAGGAGGCATGGGATTTAGGTTGATGAAAAAAAGATACCTTTTTAAATTTTTAAGAAAAATGCTTGGCTACCTAATAACAGATTTTAATTCTGGGCAGGATCAGGGAGGGAATATGCTTTGTTTTGTTATGTTTTCATGTGTTTCTGAACAAATGACCACAAGTCTGATGGCTAAGAGTTCTAGAGGATAGAAGTCTAAAGTGAGCCTTACTGGGCTGAACTGAAAGTTTAGCTATGTTGCTTTGTGAAGCTCCTTGCCTTTCTGGGCCTCTGGAGAATGCCCGCTGCTACTGGATTGTGGCCCCCTCTGTTTTTAAGGCCAGCATGAGCAGCCAGGCCTTTTTAAAGCTGCTATCATTGGATTCTAGAGTCTGGCCCTCTTGAGTTCCTTTGCTTTATAAATACCATGGGGATTACATTGAGCCCACCCTGATCGTCAGGGTAATCTCCCTACCTTGAAATCATTTAATCTAATCACTTCTACAGAATTCCTTTTGCCTTGCAAGGTAACATATTCTGTGGCTTCAGGGATTACGACTTGAGGGACTTGGGCGTGGGGAGCATTATTCTGCCTACACAGGGTCTGTTTATCTTCAAAGGAAAGAAGGAAATTTTACCTCTGTTTCATATCAGAGAATCCCAACCATCAAGTGAGCCACTGCCTTCTCTCACAGGGAAAACTTGCTAGGAAGACTGCTTTCGTTTGTCTTCAATTCCATTAACATTTCTTTGGCATTTGATTATCTTAGACTATAAAATACTTTAGTGCAGATTTTTGAAAATGCAATTTTCCCCTAAATAGTTACTACTGAGAAACCTAACATGGACATTAATGTTAAACTTTGTCATTTGCAGATCAATGCTTGTGTTACCACCTGTGTTCTTTTGACATAGTTACTGTGGTGCGTATTTCTCATTCACACATCCCAAGAGATGATACCAGAGACACTTCACAGTTGGGTTTAGAAAAAAAACAAGGGCTTTGCAGAATAATGTAACTTAGTAAATAGAGTCTTCAAGCAGTCTGCAAAGCTTAAGTTCTGAGATCCTTACCACTCACTGTATAACACAGGATGTTGCCCTTCATTTTAGATCATTCTTTACCTCTAGAATGAATCTACCAGACCTGTCCTCACTGCCCTGTTCCTATAGCTCTATGTAGGGTTTAATGTTGGAACACAGATACACTTAAGAAGCCACAGTGTTAAAACCAAGTCTGCATTTCCACATAAACAGCCAGAGCCCATTTATAATTTATTATCTTAGCCAAAGACACAAAAGTTATGGCTCTGGGAATCAGTTGGAATGCAGTTTATAATTATTCTCAGGTTAATATATAAAATGCATAACATACAGCTGGAGAAATGAGTCAGTAAACCACAAGTGTATCGAGTTTGCACAAGACCCTGAATTTGGTTCCCAGAACTGAAGTCAAATAGCTCATACCCTCCTAAGCCCAGCTCCAGGGGGGGCTGATGCCTCTGGCCTCCTTGGGCACCTACACCTAATGTGCACACAGACACACAATTAAAAGTACAATATATTTTCAAAAACTAATAGCAATATTTGACCTCTCTTAAAAACCTGCTTACCTTGATGGATTTCCTGGTAGGAGAGTCAGCTTGTCTTCAGGCTCTGTTCATCTTCAGAGAAAAGAAAGACTCTGGCATCCTTACCTTCTGTACCTTGAGGTTGTCAAAGTGCCTACAACAGATTAATATTAAAATGTTAATATCTCAAAATGCTTTCCTGTTGTTATTTTCAACAGATATATGCATTCTAAGGAAAGTGGTAAGAACAGTTACCCCTAATATTCCACCATGGTAAATATTCATTTGCTTTCTGTCAGGGCATGCCCTCCTGTAATATTTGTAGTGGTATGAAAGTTGTGGGTAGAAATGGTCTATTGGAATCTCCAGACACCAACTACCCTGTTACCAATTAGACTGCTGAGGGATCACACCTTTGCTTTTGTAAGCTGTGCATAAGGTGGGATTTATATGTGAGGCATGCATGTACTTCCACAGTAGTGACTCCCTGGGAATCTTGAGGGGTTCCCCTTTGCAGGTGTTAACTACTAGGGAAGTGAAAAGTTAGAGCCGTGGAGCATGGACAGTGCCAGTGAACCTGTAGTGAAGTTGCTGGGCGCTGGATGAAGTAGTCTGGGAGCATGTAGTGATCTCCCCCTGCAGGTAGCAGTGACACATGAACAGAGAGATAAGTGAATCCCTGGCCTCCTCATTTGTGTTAGCTATCTTTGTATCAACTACAGGGCCACACTATATTGACATTAATTCACGTGGCAGCTGCATCACTACATCATGGCATTTTTCTCCTATCAAATAGGGGACAACCACTGTTACTAACATTCCTCACTCCTGATGCCTGTTGGCCAACTATTCCTTCTTTTCCTCATGTGAAAAATCACTAGTTTGCCTTTAACAGCAGAGATAGACATCAATAGATATAATTATCAGCTTTCCAAATTTCAGCTGTACACGTTCAATATGATCTTTTAAATTTTTCGTTGAGGAAACTTCCTAGTTGTTAGTTGTCCCTTGCTTCCACAGCTGTTACCCACAGAACTATACCTCACTAACTGCCCTAAGTTATCCTACTCCCAAGGGCAGTAGTGTAAGGCACAGTTAAAGTGGGACTAAGATAACTCCTTTAAATCTTACTGCTATGGAGCCATTAACCTTGAATGTGAGAGAAGTATAGGTTTGGGGGTCAGAGAGTCAAAAGAGAAAAACATAGGGTCTGGAAAGATGGCTCTGTTTGTGAAGTACTTTCCTTGTAAGCATGAGGACTTGAGTTTGATCCTCAACACTCATGGGGAGGAGGGGGAGCCAGGCATGTCCAGCTGGTTCAGCAGATAAAAGGTGCCAAGCCTGATAACCTGAGTTTGAGTTCCAGAACCATAATAGAAGGAAAGCCAGCTCATTCAAGTTGTCCTTTGACCTCCATTTGCAAACTGTGGCACACACATTTCCACACACATATAAATGTTTTTTTAAAGCTGTATGTATGTATGTATGTATGTATGATGACCTGAGTTCTGTTCCCTAGGATCCACTAGCTGGAAGGAGAGAACCAATTCCTGAAAGTTGTCCTCTGACCGCCTCTTGTATGCCATGGCACATGTATGCCCATATACACACGCACTAAATAAATAAATGTTTAAAGAACAAATAAAAATAAGGTGGGAAAAGCAGTTGGGGAAGACATTGCATTTATCTCTGCCAGCCACATGCACCAGTGGCACAGTAATAATAGTTTTGTGGTTTGGTTTGGTTTTTTATATTCAGATTTTTTTTTTTTTTTAATAGTTTGACCCGAGTAACTTCCTACCTTAATCTTGGTCTGGCCTCACATACTTTATATTTTATTGTTATTGCTGTTATTGTTGTTAACTGTTGCTACTATTAAAGTTCTTTATCTTTTATTGGGTTTAAATTTCCCTTTACAAAATATGCATGGATCAAAAATGTGCCTTTGGAAGAACTTGCTGGTGTTAGTTGTGCTGACCTCACTTCATACTGTAATGTTTTCTCTGTTTACCAGGAGATGAGTATTTCAATATAACGATGTGCATGTTTTCCCCTTCTCCCGTTGCATGCAGGGATTCGGGTTCGTAACTTTCGAGAATAGTGCTGATGCAGACAGGGCCAGGGAGAAATTGCACGGCACCGTGGTAGAGGGTCGTAAAATCGAGGTGCATGTCTTAAATAATTCAATTTCTTGTTTATATTTTTCTTTCTCTTTGTGTACTGCCTCACTTATTTCACACTTGGAGCCCTGTCCTGTCCGTGTGTGCACACCTGTCTGTGTCTGTCTTCACCTCCTTGCACCACACTGTATAGAAGTAACACCTGTCTGCTTCGCCTCCACCCTTGTTTGTCTGAGGTGCAGCTGGGGGAGGGAGTATGTGCTTAACTGTGCTCTCATTTACTTTTTTTCCTCTTCCAAAATGTTTGTCCTCTGCTCTCTCTGGTTTTTTTTTTTTTTTTTTTTTTTTTTTTTTTCCTTTGCTTCAGTTTCTGCAAGGCTCTGAATGCCTATTATGAGGCCTAAGCAAAACTAACTTCAGAAATGTCTGAAAACTACATAGCTTGTAATTTTATGTCTGGAGGCCAGTTCCCCTCCATGTGTGTTTGATAAGTGTGGATAGACAATGGTAAAGGTTTTGGGGGGAAGACAGAATCCAAAACTCTGGTAGTTCTAAACTATACTTAATACTAAGAATTTCAAGAGTTGATTACAAAGTTGAGAGCAGGGGGTTCAAGGGCAGCTGGTGGCATAGATGGACAGATACTGTGATTGCTAAGTCAGCCCCTGGGCTCACCAGCACTAGAGGGACTAACGCATTGAAGGTTAACTGGCTCCTCTCTCCTTTACCAGTTTTTTAAAAGTATTAAATATGAAAGCCACCATTCGAGTAAGATGTCTGCATATTTTGCTTTTTTTTCCCCCTCTCCGATGGTTTAGCATTTAGGGCCCTTCACTTGACTCACTCTTTCCATGGTAACTATACACAAAGCTGGCGATGGTGCCCGTTGGCGGTAAGTGAATCAAGAGTGCTAGAGAAGAAGCTTTAAAAATGTAATCACAAAACAATTAAGAGAGAAAAAGTCCATCTGCCATCTCACATTAACACTACCAGATGTGGTTTGACTTGCTTCTGTCCCTTCCTGCCCCTTTTATTTTCACTGCTGTGGGGTGATGTCGCCTGGACTTTGGATGTACATCCTGTCTTGTAGCAGTCTGAGCTGTTTGGTTACTGAGTTCATGGTGATTTTTTTTCCCCTTGCGCATCTTACTCAGAGTTACTGAACTCCAGTTTGGCTGTTTTTATTAATGCACTTCTACCCTGACTTCTTTTCCCTCCTCCCCAAACCACTGTGCAGCTCACTCCTGCTGACACCCTTCCTCACATTCCCTCCATCTTCCCCAACACTCTGTTCTCTTTCCCTGGCTTCTTATTCCTGCCCCTTCCTTCCTTCCCGCGCCTCTCTATCTGGCAGCTGTTGGTGTCGCTGCTGACTGGTTCTGGCTGTTTTCCTTTGAGTTGCTTGGTGGCTTTCTGCTCTAGCAGCTAGTTCAAGCTCTTGCTCCATTCTGACCCTGCTATTGACTTTCCCTCCTCTTTCCAAGTTGTTTCTTTGTGTGTGTGTGTGTGTGTGTGTGTGTGTGTGTGTGTGTGTGTGTGTGTTAATTGCATGCTCTCAGTCTCATCCTTGTTGTCTCCCATTCTTTCCTCGTAAATGTGAAATGTTTACATTATCTGTTGGTCAAACTAGAGTAAATGGAGTTTCAGGCTGTCTTCACACAGGGAGGGGCAGGGGTCCCTTCAAATCATAAAATATATCAGATGTTTCTAAATTCCACTTTTACCTAAAAAATGGTCTTCATAACATAAATCTAGCATAATATATATTCCTAGAGGCAAAAAAAGCTAGCCTTGGTGGCACAAGCCACCAAGCTTAGATTAAGCATTCAGGAGGCTGAAGCAGAAGGATCACAAGTTTGAGGCTTAGCTACATAGCAAATTCCAGACTGAGCCGGAGCTGCTTAGTGAGACTTGGCTTCAAAAAACAAACAAGACACATTTATATTCCATAAGCTCAGAGCTCAAGGCTGGCTGCAGTTGAGTTTATGGTGAGGCTCCTTCTTTCAGGAGCTCTGGGGTTGGTCTTGAGGCCACCCACAGTGTTCTGGCTTCTATGGTCCATCCCTCCTTTTTTTCAGCAGTACCATTTTTGTGAGGCCCACTTACCTTGATGTGGAGAATGCTTCAAATATATGCTTTGTCATGGGTGTAGAGAGGACCACAGCACAGGAGAAACAGACACTTAACTCTTCACAGTTGAGCACCTGTGCCAAAGGCCCTTGAGAAACTTCATCTTAAATGAGTGATCCATATGGTCTGGAAAATTCAGGACGGTCTTACAGACTGTCAACATGGGAATCTTCAGTTTTCAGTTCCTGCATTTATTTACTAGTTCCAGACAGCTTAAAAAAAAAAAAAAAAAAAAAAAAAAAAGAGGGAGGGGAAGGTAGACCATCATGACAGGAGGCTGATAAGCCTCTTACAAACAGTCTTCAGAGCTCACTTGCAGATATATTTGTTCCCTGTTTACTTTATTCCAAATTGTCCTCAGTACAGAGACATCTCAAGGCCGCCCAGAGCACATGTAACTGAATCATTTCTCTGGAGTTCTGAGAGGTAGAACAACCACAATTTCTTCTTTTTTTTTTTTTTTTTTTGAGACCAAGAAACTGCATTTTACTCTTGTTAACCTCATTTAATAAGCACTCACATTAAAATTCTATGACTATTTTATAATGTGCTAATTATCTAAATGCTATCAAAATTTACATTTTAAATTACATGGATGAGCAGTGTCATGTTCCTAATGTGTCCCTCCCTGCCCCTTTCGTCTGCTCATTATTTTTAGGTAAATAATGCTACAGCACGAGTCATGACCAATAAGAAGATGGTCACGCCATACGCCAATGGTAAGGAGTTACAAGCTGCCTTGGGGGGGATGCTGGTTCTCACGTAAATATGTGGAATTTTCATGGCTTTCTGGAACCATCTGCTCAGTTCACATTCAGCCTCTTAGAAGAATGTCTTATCTTTACAAATTAACTTTTTCCCTAGAATTAAGCTAAGCTTTTTACTTACAAAGGTGTTTTGTTGTCATTATCTTCCATCTTCTACACATTCCCATCATGCCATTTGAGGCTACCTGTTAAAGCAAACTAGGTAGGCTGTGAGCATCCTCCTCCTTGGCCTTTGTAGTTCCCTGTACTATGGGAATTGTCCATGTAGCCTGGTGCCCCAGGTGGTTTTTCCCCACTGATTCATGTTCAAATGAGTATGATCTGGATTAGTGAGAACCTAGTCTCTTTTGTAGGTCTAGATTCCTTGCTTTCCTTAAGTCCTGGAGACTTTAGGGTGTAGCTTTTTATTTTGTGGTAGCAAGTTACATACATAATCTAATAAAATTTGGAGAATAGGACTTTCATCGAATAATTTGCCCCAACAAAAACATTGGGCTAGACAGGTGCCATCTCAAGTAAAAAGCACTAGGCATGCAAACCTTAAAAATGGAGGTCAATAACTGGAACCTCCGTGGAAAGCCATGTGTGGTGGCCCATGTCTGTAATGTCCATGCTTTACCTAGAGGTCAGAGGCAGACACAGGAGATAGGCCATACAGTGGCTGAAACAGCACAAGCCTTTGCTTGAGCAAGGGGAAAGGAGAGAACCAATTTCAAGAAGTTGTCTTCTCATCTCCACTACCCTCTGTAGCACACCCACACTCTATTCTTACATACAAAATTAAGTTTAAATTTTTTAAAAAATGCAGAACTTAGGGCTGAATTAACAGCTTCAGAGCCATGCTGATCTTGCAGAGGACCCAAGTTCAGTTCCAGCACTCATGTCAGGTGGCTCTGAATTACTGTAACTGTAGCTCTGGGGGAAATGAATTTGTGCATGAGCATTGTATTCATTTTGGAAGATGTGTATGTTTGGGTGCAGGTGCATGTTCATGGAAATCAGATCTCCTCAAACAGTATGAATCTGTTCTCTCCTTTCACCACATGGATCAAACAGACATGGTGGCAAATGGTTTTACTCACTGAACCATCTTGTTGGCCCTCATGATCATTTTTATCAGAATAAGGGATTGGATTGAGAGTTATTTCAGCCAGATAAAGGTAGCTCATGCCTGTTCTACTCACTGCTGGAGAGAGTAGCATATATTCCTTGCTTACAAACAAAATACTTGCCATATTCCTGTAAATATATAATAAATAAATAAATAAAATTTTCTCCCGACATAGTATTATTTGGAAACTCAACATTTCTAAATCTTGAACTGAATGTTTGGTAGCAGTATGGTGTCCTTCAGAGTCTCAGTAATATGTTTGTTATAAATTAAAACTGAAGCCATGAAGCTATTCACAGAGAATGTGAATGGACTTCACATTTTATTACTGCTTTAACGTTCTACTTAGTGAGCCCCAGTTTTTACTATGAAAGGGGATTTCCATTTACCCACAAAACTTGTGTTATAATTAAGTGTGCCATCAAGTTCCAGGTCACATTTGAATTCAGTCTGAGGACACCTTACTGAAGCTTCTAGTAGAATATACTGTTAAGATGACATGAAAGGAAGTATTGTCATGTGGTACCAAATGATGGGTGTTCAGACTTCTTTCCCCTCTAAGCTTAGAGCAGGCCATGTGGGTACAGTTCTGAGAACAGTCTGCCAAACCCTACAGTGTACTTCTGTTCCTCTTCCTCTTCTCATTCCCCCTCCATCTTCCCCTCTCCATTCTCTTTCTCTGTTCTAGTTACGGTCTGTTGCTGTGATAAAACACTCAAACTAAAAACAACTTTGGGGTCAGTTTTATCATTAGGGGAAGTCAGGGCAGCTCTCAAAAAGAAACTGGAGGAACACTGCTTGCTGGGGATGATGCTACCCACAGTAGGCTTTTAGCTCTCCTCCATCAGTTAATAATGAAGCCGATCCCCACAGATGTATCCACAGATGAATCTGATTTGGACAATCTCTCTATCTTCCCAACCCTTTATTCCATGCACCCCTGCCTACCTGCCCAAGCCCTCATTCTCTCATTCCCTCGTTCATGCTGCTTAAAGATGGTACCATTGCCCTTTCCTATAAACTAACCTAGGGAGGAAAAACAGCCCAGAGACCCCTGGAGCCATCTTGACATGCAGAGTTCACTCCTGTCTTCACATAGTCTGAAAACAGTCACTGTCTTTTCTGTTTCAGGCTGGAAATTAAGCCCAGTAGTTGGAGCTGTGTATGGCCCTGAATTATATGCAGGTACTAATTGTACTGCTTCCCTTTCTGCTACTTAATGGCATATGTGTCTTTCATTTGGCTGTCTTTGTAAAGTTTTCACGGGGTTTTTTGTTTTGTTTTTTTGTTTTTTGTTTTGTAATGCACCTAGCATCCAGCTTTCAAGCTGATGTGTCCCTAGGCAATGAGGCGGCTGTGCCCCTATCAGGAAGAGGAGGCATCAACACTTACATTCCTCTAATCAGTAAGTAGCCTACACTGACCTGGTATGGGCTTTGACTATTGAAACTGATGTGCTAGTTTGGTCTGTTTTTCTTCTGCTAGCATAATAGGAGATAAAAAGAACCTTTGGGGGGGGGGGAGAGTTGTAATAACTCTGGCTATCCTCGAACTTTGAGAGATCCACCTGCCTCTGCCACTGTAGTGCTGGAATTAAAGTGTGCACCGCCACTACCCAGCAGGAAAAAAAAAATTATTGACAGGGCAATAGATACCACACTAGAAGCTTCCATAAAACAAAAATCACTGGAAAGTGTGCAGAGGGTGAAAATGCCTCCATGTTTGTTCAGAGGAAATCAGACGATACGAGTATTGTATACACTGCATTACTCAAGCCTACTTCCTCCACACACACACACACACACACATGCCCACTCTCCCATTGAGTACAGCTCCAGTATCAGTGACTACTCTCCACTCACTATCTCTAGAGTCACTTTGACCCAGGTCTTTTCTCCTGGCAAGAGGTGTAAATAAAACTGGATTCCACAGAGTGGGGTGTTTCTGTTTGATTTCCAGAGCAAAACACAGAACACTTGGGAAATGTCTGCTTCATTAAAGGATACAGGGTGGCTGGGAAGGTTAATACTTTACAGCACCTGTCAGTGGTCTCAAACACCTTTAGTCCCAGCACTAGGGAGGCAGGAGCAGGTGAATCTCTGAGTTTGAAGCCAGCGTGGTCTACAGAGTTAGTTCTTCGACAGCCAGGCCTACACAGAAATGAAATTGACAAATGAATTTTCTAAAAACTATTACTTGCCTTGGAGCACCATGTAAAAATATATAAAGAACATTCCTTTTGAGGAATAATTATTACATAATGACATTTAGAAATGAATTCATAGTTGGCCAGTTAAAGAATTTATATTAATCTGATTTAAACCAACAACAGAAATTAAGCATTGTACATCTTATTGGTGATTTTCAGAGCTACTTCTGGTAAGAGTTTCTTATCAGCCTACATTATGACTGGAAAACCCTGGAAGGAACAGAGTAAACTCAAGATTTGTGATAAATGAGACATGGGGTCATTACTTGTTCATCTCGTATATCTCTTTCCACTTCTTCCCCCAAAGGCTTAGTGTAAGGAATGTATTAATAAGTATGCTTGCTGTCTTTTCAGGAAAGATTTGGTGCCTACTTTTCTACCTTTTCCATAATCGATTCTTAGTCTGGTTTTGTACCAGCTCCTGAATGCAAGTTGAAATTTCTGTCATATTTTGGGTCTCCCTTTAGTTCCTGGCTTCCCTTACCCAACTGCAGCCACCACGGCAGCCGCATTCAGAGGAGCCCATCTGAGGGGCAGAGGACGGACAGTGTATGGTGCAGTCAGAGCGGTACCTCCAACAGCCATCCCCGCCTATCCAGGGTAAGCATTAGATTCCAGAATCACCATTTCTAAAACGAGCAATTGGATACAAAAAGAAGGGATGAAAGAGTGCTCTGGACCTCTCTGATTTTAGGATGTTGATGGGCAGCATTTAGATGCTATGTGAATATTTTAAAATTAAAGGATTAAAGGCAAGAACCAAAATACAGAAACATGACCAAGGGCCAATTCATTATACAAACCCTTAAGCCAGAGATGTCTTGTGTTTGCTAGCAGTGTGTTGGCATGGAGTTCACTCAGCAGCGCACGAGTGTGGATTAACACTACTGCAGAGAACTGAGAAAGGAGCTGGAGATTTAGTGCCAGACCATGTCTGCTGTGCCACCCCGTCTCACCACCCTGTGTCGGGGCAGAAGCCAGCACATGTGCCCACCCCATGGTTTCACTGCCTGGGTAGTGAGCAGCAAAGCTAGTTACCCACAATGGATTTGCTTTCTTTGTAGGAAACAGATTGAAAGAGGTGAATTCAAAGACAAACCAAGTCCAATTGACTCGAGGGAGAGAGGGAGAAGTAGGGGGAACCCAGCTGCAGCTGGCTTCTGAGATGGTAGCAGCTGATGTAGCTGAGCAGCCCTCGCCTTCGTTTGGAGCGGAGGTGTCTATGCAGTGGAAAGATTCCATAGCAACAAATAAATCCTTTGTTTTTGAATGGGGAGAAGGAGGAAAGATGGCAGATTGGCTTTTAGTTGTTTATCCGTGTCAGCCTAACGAATATTTTTATATACAGTGAACTTCTAATTGAGTAGTATCAAGGACTTTCTCTTAAAAGATTTGACATTTCTCTTCTTCATCTTTTCTCTGCCTATGACAGGTGGTTTTATTTTTTGTTGTTGTTTTTTGGTTTTTTTTCCTATATTCTGGAGAAACATAAATAGCTGCAGAAAAACCAGTTAGCTGATTTTTAGTTAAAATGTAGAGGAAGATAGCATGTCCCTTTCTGATAGCAAAATTGGCTTCACCAGGAGGTATACTAATTTAACATTCATTCATTCATAGACCAATGGACATACCATTAGGAGTCCTCCATGCCACAGAGTTAAAGCATGTTTATTAGACAAGGCAAGTATGCATGCTGAAGTGGGCAGACTCCAAGACACTGCAAGGGAACTGCTTCAGAGAATAACTTTCATTTGCAATTTATAGACAATTAAATACCATGCATTCCATCATCTCCATCTTCTGCCATGACTTGCTTTTAATTTTATCCTTTTTTGTCTCAACTTGACCTTTGACCTTCAACCTCTGACATCTCTTTTTTAAAAAATTAATGACATATACAGTTTTGTTTCATCAAGAAATGTTGAGTGAAACATGAAAATGAGTCTTTTACAAGCTCAGCACGCTAGGAAAACTGCTCATGATATATCTCCCATTTCAACCCAGAAAGCATTTACTGTCACATGTGCAGGGAGAGAATGCACAGAGAACCATGGAACTGCCTATTTAGTAACTTCCTGAGCCACTTCATAAAGTAGCTGAGTCCATTCCTGTTCAGTGTAGGTTCCATATATTGGCCAAACTTAAGAACAATTTTCTGCTAAGTCTGTGTCAGGTATATATTTGATTAAATGAACTTATCTTTCATGTCTGATCATGTCAGTTTCTGTGCATTGCATTAAACACTAATTTCCCTTGTATTCTTTTTGTTAACTATACCATCTGTTTACATGGAAGATGGCAAGGAATAAGTCCAGTATTTCATGGGGAATGGCCTAGAATTGCTTTCAGCCTTGTGAGTCACTGTGCACTAGCCTCTTATGGCATTGGGTACAGGGATCATCAGAATTCTTCTACAGTTCAAGTGAATAGTTACAATAAATTATTAGAACAGAATGCATCCTTGTTTTTAATGGCAACACTTTTTATAGAAGGAATGTGTTGTTGTCTTTGCCTGTGTCCCCTCACTGACATTGATGAAGATTAACTCACTCACAACTTGGCCTCCATGCTTTCCATTCATCAACCTTCTCCTATGCAAGTCTTTTATGAAAATGCAGTGGAGAGTCAGATCCAACCTGACATCAGACTTTAGCTGCAAGTGGAGACTAAAGCAGGTAACACTTGCTTACAGACGCTTGGAGTATGTCTGCTTTTCCTGCACACAAAACAGAGGCCTAGCATTCAGTGCATTGCAACTTATAGGTATAAAACTTAGTGACCCTACTTGTTAGCTCATTTATTATAACTGAAAAAAGAAATTATCCATTTTATTTAGCTGAATAAACAAAAACAGATTTTTTAAAATATATTAAATAGCCAAGTCTTGACCTGACAAATGTGAAGAAAAATTTGTCTTTTCTCTCTACCACTGTTTGTCTTCTGCTCCCAAAATAATGTTTTGGGGGAAAATCTATATATACAAAAGCACTTACTTCATAAGGCTAGAGAAAAGTCTACATCTTAAGAATAACAATATAGTATTGCTCCAGATTTATATTAAAAAAAAAAAAAACTAATATTGCCAGCTTGGCAAAGCCCATTACCAAGCAGGAGAGTGAGCCCTGCCACAGCTCCCTCCTTTTCACACTTTAAAATAAGTAGGACAGGCCTCATCATTCCCAGAGCTTCAGTCACCAAGTGCATTTTTCAGAGTTCTTCAAATCCTTTGTTAGTTAAGAAAGAACCCTTAAAATCTTCCAGTTGCTCCTTCCCACTCTGGATTATATTGTTACTATCTGGGATCCCACTGCACCTTTCAATTCTTGGACCAATCACCTTAACCTTGAGCTCATTACCTCTGCTTGTGAAAGCAATGCATTGTGGGTATTTTTGGTTGTTTTGTTCTTTTGGTTTTTTTTTTAATTACATTTCTCTGTTTACTTTGGTCAGAATTGATTGACTTGTTTTTCCAAGGTGTTGCATTGGTTCTCAAAAATGCTGAATAATAATACTTTGCATGCTTGTGTGATCAGCCAAATCTTATCGCATGTCTAATGTGCAGGGTGAAAAGCAGGTGATGTATGGATAGCAAGAAAAATCTACACTTTATTTCCAAAATTAAAATACACTAGTAAGCATCATTTGAAACACATTTTTCACATGGGTTCTGACCTAATGGAATTCATTTTGTTCACTCTCTTCATGACGTTAAGCCCCTAAGCATTCCTACCCTTTGTATGATTTTGAAGAACACTGTTCTCCTAGGATACACTTCCATTTAAAAGTGGTCCATATTCTAAAGTGGATCTGTGCAACCCAGTGGATCTTAGACAGCTACACGAGGCCCTGCCAGGAGCACTGTCTATACCATTAATCTGAGTTACCCAGTGTCCAGGTGCTCGGTCTAGTTTTGCAGACCCTTACCTTTCCTTGCATGTCCTGGAGCCGTGGAACGCACGTGTGCATTTAGCACATCTTTGTCACCAGCTTGCTGCGGCCCCATGTCCAGGTCACATTCATACATCACCTGCCTGTGTAGCGCATGTGCATGCTGCCGTCCTCAATAACCGGAATGTGTTTCTGTTCTTTTGTTTTTTGTTTTTGTTTTTGTGTGGATTTCTGCAGTGTGGTTTACCAGGACGGATTTTACGGTGCTGACCTCTATGTAAGTACACACACTGGGGCCTTTTTGACCCCATCCCCTGACAAGCCAGCCTTTTTTTTTCTGTTTCTTTAGTTTGTTTTGTTTTGTTTCCTTTTTTTTTTTTTTTTTAAAGTATATATATATATTTTTTTGTTTTCCTTTTTCCTTGTGGATATATATATTATATATTTTAAGAATGCAAGCATGCTTCTGCCCCTGCGCTTGCCCCTGGGTGCAAAAACTAAGCCTTTGGGTCTCATGGCGGTTGCTGGGGTCAGTGTACTGGACATATTCTTCCCCTTCCCTGAGCCCATGAATGCTGTGGGCATCTCCTGTGAGATGTCTCATCATCTGCATACATGAGCAGCAGGGCTAGTTTAGCCTGACACCACCTCTTTCCCTTTTGTGCTTTTCTTTTCATCTCACACCCTCTGGAGAGCATTAGGGCTCAGGGTCATGTAGATGGCAGTGAGCTTTCTGAACTGTACTTTCTGGTTTTACAGGATTGGAGCAACACAAACTTGTGTGAGTGCCACCAAGGAACTTCTGTTCTGAGGATTGTGTAGTATGCTCAGTTTAAAACCCATCTGCCTCAAGTCCGAAGCTAGTGGGACTGTTCCTTATGAGTTAGCCAGTGAAACTGAGGAGCATAATTAACAGCCATTCAGTTATTGTAAAGATTTGCTAATTCCACCAGCCACAGTAACATTTAATCCATCATCCCTCTAGATGGAAATGAAGTTTCATGATTTGTTGGTCATATACTACTTAAAAAATGGACAAAGTGATCTAGCTGACACAGGAAAAGCTTTTGGGTTTTGAACACTGTTGTTCTTTTTCTGAATGTCAGCATAATCTACTTAACCCAAATCATTAAGAAAGCTCTGTAAGCAAGACTCAGCAGTAGGAAGTTACCCTGCTGGGGTAGGTCAGTGGGCCCAGCAAGTGCTTTCTGTGCTCTCTAGTCTTTGAGGCTGTTGGTGCCTGCTTCCTCATCAGTCTGATGTCAGGCCATTGAGAAGGCAGAGTCAGTACAGCATGCTGAGTCTACACATGTGCTATTTAGAGTAGGTCTTCAGAGTGTCTACCTAGTAAAGAAACCTTACTTATGAGTCATGGTCTCTCTCTCTCACATGTGCTTACCAGAATTTCATAAACTATTTCATTATCTCTTTGAAATTTTATTAAAATATAATGCTTGCTCAGCAAATTTTCGAGAATAACTTTGAGCTGTGTTTACAGTTAAGGACTAGGCAGACGAATGTGCATATTTACTTATGATGTTAGCATATGCGTCCTCCATATTCTCACAGAACTCAACTTTATATTATTTACTTTTTTGTAATCTGCTCTGGTAGAGCAGCTTTTCCATTTGAATTATTTCCTCAACTGAGGGTTTTGTTGTTTGTTTTGGGTAGGTTGGTTTGTTGTATTTTTGTTTTGTTTGTAATTTTTGGGTGGGTTGGAGTTTTGGGATTTTTGTTTTTTGTTTGGTTTTGGGTTTGGTTTGGTTTAGTTTGGTTTGGTTTTTCAAGACAGGGTTTCTCTGTATAACCCTGACTGTTTTGGAACTCACTCTGAGGACCAGGCTAGTCTTGAACTCAAAGAGATCTGCCTGCCTCTGCCTTGAAAGTGCTGGAATTAAAGACATGTCCCACCACCACCGCCTGAATTTCTCTAAAATATATCCTACTTCTATTATGGGTTTCTCTTTTTTGGTTTATTTGTTTTTGTTTTTATTTTTTAATCTAAATGAATAAGCTACATAAGTTAAGCAAGAAATCTACTGGCTTGGCCATGGTGCCCTTCCCAATGGCCGTCACGGAAACACACTGGGCCCTGCTGGCTGCCTTTTTCTGTCCCCATCTGAGTTGGTGACACGAGTGCTGAGCACTGTAGTGAAAATCAAGACTACAGAACTGGATGGTCCGAGTGTGAGGGAGCTGAGGAGTCTTAAAATCACAAACGAAAAATGACTGTTTTTCTTTGACTTTGTTCTGCTTCTGTCTACATTTTTCTAACTGTGGCAATCAGTCATTGCATCTTTAGATGTAGCATCATCAGAAGTATGTGCTAGAATAGGATGAGTGCAGGACTTAGTGTATAAAAGGTACTCTAGACCAGACAGAAGAGCGCATGAGCAGAAGGCACTCAGGAGGAGCCGTGCTGGCTTTATTTCTGAGTCCTCTTACCTAGTCTGCTATCAAAGCAGTTCCTGAGAGCTCTTCTGCTTCCTCATGGTACACTAGTGTTTGGCTACCATGTCCTCTAATTTATAAAGAGGCCTGTTCTTCCAGGATAGGTATGTGCCCACTCCCCATCCCTGCCATCCCCTTTTCTCATAGTAGAAAAAGCCATAGTTCACCCTAATTCATCCTTTAAGTGGGCTGACAACTGCTCCTGATTCCCACCTGTGAAAAGCATGCTTGCATCCAAAGGAAAGAAAAGGCTGGCGGCCCATGGTGGGCTCTTTGTATGATTGTTTTCCTTCCACAGCTGTGTTTTTGAACTGCTCTTCCTGTGTTCTGTTATAGAATAGTCTTACAGGAACCAATCATTAGCGCTAAAATACCTCAGGTAGGAGTGCCAGTGTGACCTGCCAATCAATCAGATTGTGGATTGCAGTGAAAAAATTGAATTATACTAACCATTCCAGCTCCACGTTAGAGATGGGAACAGAGGCTTTTTTGAACAATCAAGACTTGTGAGCGTGTGATCTAAGCCCTGCTACCTCAGCAGTGCACACATCACATCCACACCTTGTGGCACTTCTTCAAAATGAGCCTTCCAGCCCCCTCAGCACACAACTGCACAGACGTCTCACACTCACTACCCTATCACTGCAGCCTATCTCAGCCTATCAGTCACAGTTGCCTGTACTATTTAAACTAGTTTTTGTATTGGAGATCTTATCAGTTGAGGGCACTAACTATGAAAGAAATGTCAAAAGGGAAGAGGCAGAAGTCTGCCCATGCAAGGCTTCCTCCATTCTCGTGTTGAGCTGCATAGTGAAATTCTAGTCAGAGATGGACTGTGCTGCTGCAGAAGCGTGAAGTGTCAACAGGTCTGGCATCCTGGGACTTGTAGCTCCTGTGCCCTCTTTCTTGTCACCCAATCAGATCAGTGACTGTTTGCATAATAGCATGCCTGTTAGAGAGTTTGCA